CAGGAATGTATCCTTAAGCAGTGCTGATAGTCAACATAGGTAGCTTAGCTATGTTAGATAAGTCAAAACTTCTGTCTACAAACAGATGAAAAGTGATTTTTGTGATTCAGACACAGTACTTGACAGAGAAGACTGAGGTTTCACTCAGTCATGACAGAGGCAGTCTCTTTGTGTTGGTGCTAAGCTACTTAATACCTTTAGCTTTTTCATTACCATCGAAGAAGTAAAAAGCTTATCATTCTCCCAGACTGCTGTGCAGCTCAATGCTGGCTTGCTAGAACATCTTAATAGGTGTGTTCTAATAGTCTTTTTTCTTTCTTCTAATATTCTTTTATTTGATAAAAGCACAATTTTTTTCTAACGCTGGGTTGTAGGCAAAAAATGTAGACATCTTGCCAAGTGAATTTTGACACTATGATTCTGGATTTTGATTTCCAGTCTTAGCAGGGTGAGTAAAGGTAGCTTCAAAACACAACCTTCATTAAAAAAACCCCAAACAAACAACAAGTAAGTTACGAAAAATATCCTGTGCTCATATCCTTTTTAGGTAACCTGTCCTTCAGCGTCACAGACCAGCCAATTTCAGTTACCAGAGGGAAAGATTTCTTTACTAGCAGCAGTCTGCTCAATAGGACTGGTGAGACATCCTACAAATCCTCTACTTTCAGTGTGCTGTCGCAGTAAAGCAAGAAAAGCAGAGAAGCATGAAACCTGGAGCATCATGAACATTTGACAAAAGGAGTTAAAAAAAGGGAAAAGAGATAAAAGGAGGAGTCACAGCTGCTGTGTCCCCACATTTCAAGCTGTCTCAAGTTTTTGGCATATCTATATTCTCCCTGCATCTGCAGGCAATGCCCCAGAGCAATGCTTTCTTCTAGCAAGAAAAATTTTGCTGGTCCCAATCCTGTGCTCTAGGGCTCACCCACAGCTCATGCAGCTCATGCAGCATGGTAGACTTGGTGCCTGGCCACGGCGCTGGCTGCCACTGTGGCTAAGACCCAAAGCTGGTTAACACAGCAGTATAAGCAACCTTGCAAAGGGACATGACACCAGCACAAAGGGAGGTGACACTCAGGTGGTATCACCCAGTGACTCGCGTGCTCCAGCCCATTCTGGCACCCAGCCCACTTCTGCTCCCTCCATGGAGGACCATGCTCCTCCTCCCTTTCTTCCCTGTAGCCAGGGCCCCCAAGGGTGGCTGTGCAGAAGGGGGCAATGGGGGCATCCCAGCACTGTGGTGGGGAAAGGCAGCTGAGGTGTTGCAAATGAAAGCCCACTTCAAAAGGCAGCTAAACCCATGGCCAGATGTTTTGGAAGGGTTTGGTGTTAGCAATGTGAAAAATAAGCTGTTGGGAAGGAGGAATGGAGTGGGTAGCTGTGCCCAGCTGTGCCATGCCATGCTTCTTCTTCTCAGAGAAGCTCGTGAGTGAACAGAGAAAACCAATGGTTTTCAGATTAAATGGTTGCCAGGCTGCGTCTGAACATTCTCATCATGTGAATGGATAGATGGATGAAATCAGCCTGCAAACCTAGCCAGAACAAAAGTGGGTTTAGTCCATCAATTAGGGCTGCAATGCTCAGGGTTTGGAATCCTCAGCCTGAGAACCTGGCAGCCCGGTGGTGATTTGGGTCTGCATTGTCACCAGGAGTGTCCCTGGGGAGGGGAGCAGAGAGCCACGCACAGCAAGCCTAGGTGTCCCTCCTCTCTGAGGACATTCAGCTGAGCTCTGTCTTTTGTGTCCCTTCCAGGTGACACGAGCAGCACAAAAGCCAGTCGCTTCCTCTGGCCAACAGTGGTAGCCATCCTGCTCCTTTTATGCAGCTTTCTAATGGCTTTAGGCATCAGGAAATGGTGTCAGTACCAGAAAGAGATGTAAGTACTAAGACGAATGGCAGGGGTGGGAGAGGTGGCACAGAGGACAGCACAAACTTGAACCCAGCCATTTGAATTTACACATTTTCATTTGAGGCTATCCCTAGTGCATGAGGCCTTCAAGTACAAAGATTCCTAATGCCTTTTTTTTTCTTCCATACAGCCGTATGAAATGTGGAGTGTTCTCATCTGTTCTGCAGGTTATCTATAAAATAAACTTTTAAAAAGGAGATGCAATGCAGCTTCAGGGTGTGAGGAAAGAATATAAGTCAATTTTTTTCCCCAGAGCCCCCTGCTTCTATTAGGTTGCCTGCCAGCTGCTTTTGCACTCTCATTTTGCATGGATACTTGAAGATATGTTTTAATGAAATTGTACTTCTAGGGCAACTCTATTTGAGGTGTCAATAATATATGTGAAAGTAGACTACCTGAAACTTAATCTCAATCAAAGAAGCATTGAGTTTGTAATTATTACCAAAGTTTAAATCCCTATTAAAGCGCTCAGAGATCTACTGATGAAAGCAGCATCTAAGAGATAATTGTTTTTAATCTAACATTCCTAGAATGTTGGACAAATCATGGTGACAATGAAACATTTTCAGTTCTAGTAAAACCTTTTAAAACATGACTTCAAATCCCATATATTGAAGGTAAAAGTGGGATTTAGATTTTTCACTGATTTGGGAAGGAACGTTTCTTTATCTTGTCCTATAAATTGACAAGAAAAAAGTTAGGAGTCTGTAAATATACCTTCAGAGAGCAGTGTGAGCAAAAGATCTCTGCAAGGGTTTTGTATGGTTCACCAGAACCATGAACTGTTCTTTTAAAGGAGGAATAAAGTAAAATTGTGAGATGGGGGCTGATAAGGACAGATGAATACCTAGAGGTGCACTAGGGCTATAGAACAGAAACAGGGCAGTCACAGCATGCAAGAGCAAATGCCAGGTGCTCTTATAATGACTTAGTGCCCATCTCCTTCCTCCTGTGAATGTTTTACAGCAGTCTTTTACATGGCTTTTGTGTGCTAGCATGTTTTTTCTCTTGCAGTATGGACAGACCTCCGTCTTTCAAGCCACCACCACCTCCAATAAAGTACACCTCCATGATGGAGTCTGATGGGACTCCCCCATCCTGCCACGAACTGGAAAACCTGTAACATCACCTACACCCCTTGTCTAAAGCTCAGAAGACTGACACAGGTAAAAGGCTCTGTCTTCAAAAACAGTGATTCCAGGAGTTTGGTGTTAACGACCCATATTAAAATTCAGAGCACCTAAATGACATTAGTGTTGGAAGCTGAGCACTCCTGAGGACACATACTTCATCCTGCCTATCTCTGTGCATGCATTACGTTAACGCTGCTGTGAGCATCACCGTGAGATTACACATGCTTAATTTGAGTTGGGTGATCAACTGGGAATTCACTGTCTTGTTAATGGGAGCAGATTAACACATCACTCCACCAGCCTGCCTGAAGAGTATTGAAGCTCTTTGTTTTACTAAGTGTATAGAGAGGACAGCTCTGATGTATGAATACTACAATTATGTGGGAAACTTTGGCTTAACACAAGCTTTTTGACACCTGCATGAACTGTTCTTAGAATTACTATTTTTTACTGTACAAATATTGACTAACATGACCCAGTAGAGAATTTCCTATCACTGTGAAACCATACAAAAAAATAATCAGCACCTTACACAGAAAGAAAATAGTCTGCATCCATCATCATGGAGTTGCAGCACAGGATCACAAGGAGACCTTGGTGAGATGAAAGGGCACAGTGTAGGCCTGGTGGAAGTGTTTGTGAAGAAGACTCCTTTGTCGTTGGTGAAGTTACAAGACAGAGCCAACTTTGGGCTCATGTACAAGCCCCTTGTGGACCAAAGACTCTAGGAGTGAAGTGAATAAGGACCCCAAAGATAATGGAAAATGCCAGTCCTTTTGGAAGTGCTGTGCCTTTGAAACAATAATTACTCTTGAGTAATTGGTACACAAGAAGAAAAAAAGGAATAGAATCTTTTAAGGCTTCTTTCATCTTAATGAGCTTCTGCCATTTGCTCTCTTCACATATTTCAATACCTCAGGGATAGTTTCCCAGGTGGCTTAAGCCTGTGGAAGGGACGGTCCAGTCTAACTCCCATTCTGCCCGATCTGCTAATTTCCTTGCATTAAGAGCAACGATTAAATGACCGTGCCAAGGGTGGGATCAGCTCAGCCCTTGCACGGTTCTCAGCCAGGTCAGCAGTTGTGTGATCGCTAGCGCAAGTCACAAGAACTGCGGCAGGAGCACTGCATTTGGCAGCAGTGTGATCTTACATTACCTTCAGCCAGCCAAAAGACTGTCCCTCCAAGATTGTTTGAAAATGTATTGATACCACAATGGCATTGCTGTAATCAATGCAAATCAACTAAAATCTAATCATGTCAAGATTAAAATTTGTGTTCTGATTTAGAAATGGGATTTGCTTTATTACTGCTAAACAATGGTCAAAGACTATCAGGATTCAGAGCACTGTATTTCCTGGGACTTTAGATGAGTGAATGATTTACTGGAAAGAATGATCTGACAGACTTTTTAAAGTGTTTTATTTTATTATTTACCTTATAGCACAGGCAGTTCTAAATCCATCACTAAGGGAACAGAAGACAGTTTCTTTCCTACAAAACTATACAGTCTCTGAATGCATGAAAGGCTCAACATTGTGCTCAATAACATGAGTGGTTTCTTGTTTGTAGAAGCAAAGTAGTTTAACTTTTGTCATACTATCAGTCACTGAGAAAGAAGGCAGATTTTTGCTCTTAAAGAGAAAGAAATAAGAACAAAAAAGCAGGATAGCCATATTCCAAAAGGTGTGGAGAGCCAAGACTTTCTTCCATGTCATTAGATGAGGATGATTGTCTGTAACATACCCATCGTAGAGGCATTATTTTATTTTCTTTGATACTTTAATCCCTGTGACTGCTTCAGGCCGGAGGTGTTCACACTGGCACTGAGGTTTTGCAGGGTGCCCTGCGAAGTGCTCAGGTTTGGCGTGATTTCCACTGCTACTTACTGACAGAGCCCGACCACAAGGAGAGCTACTGATGCAAGGGAAAACAGTTTTAATATTGCATTTAGATGTCCTTTACTATTCCTTGTTATTAAGTTGTTATAGTGCGTTGCTTATTCAGCCTTTTCCTGGACTTTTGTGTTTCCTGCCTTACCGTGCTTTTGAATTGGAGTCGATTGTCCGTGAGCCCGACCTATGCGTTGTGATAATTAAGAAATGTTTGTGCTTGAGCCTTGAGAAGGGCGAGGCGACACACCCAGCAAAGCTGTGAAAGAAGGAGCAGCAGGGAACGCAGCCATTCAGAGGCCTAAGATATGCAAGATAAGGGAGAATCGCCCATCGCCAGCCCCTAAAGGAACGGCACTGACGGGAAGGATATCTGATAAGACCATCCGGGAACAGACGAAGAGCTGATTATGAAGAAGACCCCCGCCCACGACCACCGGAGCGGAACGCCTTTTCTGGATAGTTTATGAATATGTAGAGTCATCTAATACATATGTA